AACATAAAAAAACCCTCCTAACTAAAGTATATTAATTGTGCTGTTTTAGTTTGCGCGCCGATTCCTTAGGGAAATAAAAACAGATTAATCGTTTTGAGACGTTTAAGATGATTCCTAAGTCAGGTATTATTATATCAATGGGAAAACTGTGTTGTCACTGGTACTATTTGAAACATTAGGTTGATCGAAAGCGTTATTTATGCTCCTAGGAAATTTTCAATTACTTGTCGTGTAGACGCAGTTTTATAAAGTCCCAAAGAGAGAGTCTTGGATTGCAGTCAACCGCAGCGTCGCAAAACCTACCTACACGACAGTCGTTTCATTCTTTCAGGTTCTCGTTGTCGGTTATCTTCCAATAATGTGGCGGATACGTGCAGTAGCCTGAATGAGATAGATCCAACACCCTGGTCAAATTCTATGATTTATGAAATTATACACGAATTCACCTACTGCTATCTTCTTACAAACCAATTTCAATTTAATATGTAGGAAGTTTCTTTTGAGCAAAGATCAGTTCTTTTCCCCGTTTCACTGCCTGAAGGAAACTCAATTCTGACGTCATTATCAACCTGACTGCACGCTGAGTGTGATAAAAAAAATTGGGAATATGCACTTGAAAAGTAGTTGTGGGAGCCCTATGAAGGGATATATTTCTTAACAGACACACGGCGAATGCGTTATAGCAACCGTGAACAGATTACTGTGAGAATACCTAAGGCTACTCTGCGGAATGCTGGAATAAAATTAGCTACCGTCCGCTCACGGGTGCTCTGCATAGATGCCGGTTCAACCTAAATCGAAAAGAGCGGTATAGAAAATACTTTTGGATTAAGCAAATCTCGGAAGTAATCTGCGGAAGTGAAAGGTATGGCATATGTAAACGTGTTGCAAAATAAACTGAAGGTTATATAACTGTTAAATATTGATGTCTTCTAACAGTGCATTTGTATTTAAAAACAGTCTGAGGACGACACTTGGATATGCTGACGTCTTTTCTTTTATTTATTATCATAAAACCAAAAATAGAGATGAAACAGCGAGTACACTGAGATGTGTGTGTGTGTCTGTGTATATGAAAAATTTCCAGAGTCGACAATCGTGGCTTGCGTCCAATGCAACTACCCCCTTCTGGGATATTCTTTTTTTTTTCAGGTTTTGCTTACTAATGACTCCGTGCGCTGCTTAGCTGCTTCTTTACGACGCAAACTATCCATGTAATCAAGCTCCCAGGTGCCGCTGGTGGGACCGCTTTCGGTTGCACATATTTTGCTCGTCAGGGCATAGAGCCGACCACGAAATTGTTTAGAGCTGAGGAAGTAGATGAAACAGTTTATACCGTAGGTCATCGTGCCCAGCATGACAAAAAGATATCCACAGGCATTCACGATGCAGCGCACTTGCGGCGACGGTGACCTCTTCAGCTGCAGAGAATCCTCAACGATGGAGAAAATGCAGATGGGTATTGAGGTCACGAGGTGGAACAAGCTCACTGGAATGAGTAGCCGATTGGCCTGGATTACCGAGCGTTTAACAGTGACTGAACTGCTCCGCACAACGTGAGGATGCATGGCAATATCGTGTTTCTTGGCATTGCTACTGGCATTATGAGCACGCAGCAACCACTGAGTGGATGATTTGGAAGGTGTAACTGGCCTCTTCTCATCAACACTAGCAATGCTAGTTTTGTACTCACTGGTGTACCGGCGTCGTAGCTTTCCCGTTTTGTGGATGACTCGAAAGAGGCCAACATTGAGGAAGAGGAGGAGAATCGTAGGGATTATGCTGTACACGGCAATGTCAATGTAGAAAAATACCTTGCGTGGAATGAGTTCCTTGCTGTCACAAATTACCCTGTTCAGATTACCGATATGCTCATCCGCGACTCGTGTTCGTGATTTCGCCTCCTGCATAGTACTGTTAGGAGGAAAGTAATTGGGGTAGTTGAGATCACTTTCATATTCGTACTTCTCAGCTTCCTGAGCTGTAATTTGAAACAAACTGAGGATAAACAGGAGGATGGAATTTTTTGCCAGTATCAAAGAAAATATAATTAGCCAGGCGAACATCTTTCGTTTGCCCCGCCAAATTACTTTGGCGCGGTGTGGAATAACCGCAATGAGGTATCGTTCAAAGGTGAGGAGACAGAGTACCCACACAGCGGCGTCTCTAGTAGCGTAGGTGAGAAATGTGTGTAGTCTGCACATGACGACGCCCGCGTGTTGTCTAATGTCAAATCCAAATACGAAGTCAATCCAATAGCGTGGAGGGTTTATCCAGAGAACTATGGTGTCAGCAACGGCTAGTGCTGTAAAAATAAGCCTTGAGGGGTGGCTCCGATTGGGTTGTCGCTTAACAGCCGCTGTTCGGATGGGTTCATATGTTCGCGCTGGCTTAACCTGTTCGTCCAGGACCGAGAGCTGCGATGTTCGCAATTTAAGCCTATGGTTGGGTTTGTCAACAGGTGTGGTAGCTGGGGTGTCATCGGTAGACAGGGAAGACGAGGCTGAATGGCGTTCCTGGCCGTTAGATGCCTCCGGGATGTTTTCAAGGATGCGTTTAGAAGACTCAACCAGGAGCCTTCGACTTTCTCTTTTGGTTGACTGTCCGACGCCTTGGATTACTAGGAGGCTCAGAATGTTTCCGATTGTGCCAAAAATGATGAGTAGGGCGAAATAGATGACACCAAACAGGCGGACGCTGCTTAGTGGCGAAGTTGCGCATGTATATTCCGTGTATGTTGTGTTCATTGTTTGGCACAACTAACGGTTAGAGAGTTGTACATTCCGCGGTACTGCCAAACGCAAATCAGAACGCCTCTGTTGATTGGACGAATTAATGGCCAATCAGATGGGCGTTTTCCTAGCCAATCCGGGGAAGCTTTGCGTAGACTTCCACTGCAGAACGCTAATGAAATATAAAAGTAACTTCTATTTAATCACTGTCTATGCGATCAGACAGAAGAAGAAGTTCGGTCACTTAGGAATTTTCAAATATGGTGAATACATCAGAACAAAATGTTGAACTTGACGGGCTGTGAAAGAGACAACTTATTTGCAAACTATACTTAAAAGTTAGAAAAATCTAAAAAAATAGTGCGAAAGACCGTTTGATGTTGCGAGGAAAAAGTGATTATTCTTAACCAAAAATAGTATGTATCATTTATTTGATGTCACTTCTACACTCCCTAATCGCGATGCCTTAGCGCAAATGACATCCGATAATATGCCTACTTTGAACGTCTAAGTAAATGGATAAGGAAGGAGGATCTTCGAGCACCGGATCAAGTTGTTCATTATCCTGAGCTTTCCAACTCTTACGGAAGTCCATCATCAGAGCTAAGAAGTAGCAACAAAAAGGAGACTTATTATAGTGCGCGTACACGAATAAACTGTCAGGGGTCTTCAGATCGTAAGGAGTAAGAAACAGGGATGAAAAGGGCGGGGAGAAGTGACAATTATAGAGGTATAGGTTGGTTAATCGTCAGTGATGGCAACGTTCATCAGGGCGTCAGCCACGAAAATAGGGAGAATTATCGAGGATGTGGGCCAATCAACTGTGCTGGGCGTGACTGTACGTGATCGCGCAAGGCTCTGTACGTCGGCGGCAATTCGATACATCGGTTGATTGCTTTCCCGTCCGTGGACCAGGCTTCAATTCTTTCCTCGCCTTGTTTCCGTCATGAGCGAGTAATTCGACGACAGCAAAGTTGAATTCATGACCTGATTTATAGGTATGAGTTGCAGTTTGTGATTATTTGTCGTACAGCCAACTTATGTTCATTTACGCGCGATCGGAGCATGCGTTAATTTTGGTCTGTGTAGTAGCAAAGACAGCTTAGGCATGGAATAGATTTGAGACATAAGTGTGGTTTAACCAGAGTTTTTTTTGTTATTCTTTCTTTACTGCTGATGACATTCCTACTGTCATTAGCCGCTTGTGAATGCTGCTGTTGCCTGGTTAATGCGTAGCGGGGCCATTAACCAACCAAATACTAGATTATGCATGACATAAAATCCATGTCTTATTTTTTGCATAGATAATTTTCAATCACCACAACATAACTCTATGAACTTAGTTATTATAAATGCGGATGGGCTAGTTGGTTAAATAAGAGAACTTTTTGGTTGCATTTTGAAATCAGGATAATTTCCATAGAGCGTTTCAGAGGACTAATGGACAAATAGATTTTGTTTTAAATTAATCATCGCTGGGCTTTTAAATTTAAACCGTAAAAATGTTTATCCAAGCCTGCTGATAATAAGAAAAATCTATTAACGTTTAATTATTTGCATAAGTCGCCTATTATACTGTGCGGGAGGATTTAAAAACGTTGCTGTTTATATATTCAGATGACCGTCTGTATTGCTACGGCTGAAGAAGTTGGAGAAGACATTGTAACTTAGGAGAGAAGAAGGCACAAAATTGGGACGTGCTTAGCCAGTTAGCCCGTTTTTTCACTGGCAGATAGTATAGCCAGCAGAGAAAAGAAGCCTAAAATGGTCATTGCTGATTTATTAACCGTCGTCAACCAATCAAACCCAACCCCAAGAGGTGTCCTACCTGAGGCTTGAGCCACTAGCTCGTTGTCTTACCGGTTTATATCGGAAGGTATTGACATTCGTCGATTAAATGTCACCGATCGCGAACAGAACTCACTCGTCCTGCTCTGCCGTGGGTCTCATTCTTACGTCTCATTCTTAATAAGCCCAGTCGCCGGCTAATAAGCCCAGTTTGCCAACAGGATAGAGTGAGATTGTTGTTGATGATGAGGACGATGAGCCAGGTCCCACTGCTGCACAGCGGAGACCTGCACTCTAAACTCTGCAACACGGTCTACGGGCAGCAGATTTCAGAAAATTCGACGGTTTCTGGTGCCTGGAGAAGGGCATCAAAGAACACTTGCGAGTGACGTTTCCTCCAAAATAACTGACACTAGACCGCTTTTTTAAACGTATCGCAAACAATTTTTTTGTTTTTC